ATAAATAGCGTTTTCGTTCACTAATCCTCTTGGGTTAAATGAACCACTGGAATTCGGGTAATTTACTGACTGTTTTTAGAATCTGGTGACAGAAGTAGATTTAAACTCATTCTTAAATCGATCATTGTAGAGTATTTAGAAATGATTGAAATTTTATTCCTTGTACGAGTGCCTGGTGTGCGCGGCGTCGAATTCTTCAACTTTCTCATTTATTCATAGGCCTGAAAAAAAATTGTGCTGACATTTACGAAGCTGGGGAAAGAAGAGATGGTATGTACACCATAAAACCTGATAACTTACATGCCTTTGATGTATTCTGTGACCAAACAACGGAGGGTGGAGGATGGACTGTGTTCCAGAAGAGACTGGACGGCTCGGTTGATTTCTACCGCTACTGGAACGACTACAAACGTGGCTTTGGTGACCTGTGTGGTGAGTTTTGGCTCGGACTGGACAAGATTCACCGTCTGACCTCAGATGATAAAAACGTGCTACGTGTAGACTTGGAAGACTTTGAAGGGAACACAGCTTATGCTGAGTATAACTTGTTTGGTGTTATGAGTGAGAAAGACAAGTACAAGCTGATCCTTGATTCTTATTCAGGTAGAACTGTCATTTTGTCTCCTCCATTCTAGTCATTCTAAGAAGGGGAGAGGAGGTGAGAGCTAAGTAATTCAAATATATTTAAACTATTTAAGATCATTCAATAGCTTTGGAAGACAAAAAAAAGTAACCACAGCTCATCGATATGCAATCCTGGACAGCGCACACCGGACGTTGATTAGTCCAAAGGTATTCGCTGGTAGATCATGCGTAGTTAACCTGACGAAATAATCCAACTCAGATGAGTGTCTCGGCAAAAATATTTATTGGCATTATCATATTTAGTAATTCAATCCCCAGAATCTTCGACATGAATCATATATAATACTAAGAATGCTTTTATTCCATATCATTACTGTTAAATTATACTTATCTAATATTTGAAGATTTCTTTTGAACGGTTCATTGTTGGTCAAACGTAATACTCATAGTACGGCTCATTTTGTCAGGAAATTCTGGTGACTCTCTTGCTGTGCATCGCGATATGCCATTCACCACTAGAGATCAAGATAATGACATTCGGAGGGATCACAACTGCGCCATTAAGTTCAAAGGAGCCTGGTGGTACACGAGGTGTCACCAATCAAATCTCAATGGCTTGTATCTTCGTGGAAATCACTCTTCCTTTGCTGATGGAGTGAACTGGCTTCATTGGAGAGGATATAATTACTCCCTCAAGAGAACCGAGATGAAAATGAGACCAGTGGATTTCTGAACTGTCATGTTCGTGGCACAACAATGATACAGTATCAACTTAACAAAAAAAACCAGTTCCTCGATCGAGTCCATTCAGCATTTAATAATCACTATTAAATTGCAGCTTAGCGAAAGGTTCGTCGCAATGTTCGAGCTTGTTTAGGGTTTTTCTTGCTTCTTTGTGTGCGTTTTTCAAAATAGGAGTAAATGATTCCGTAGAATCGGCCAGTTAACCGATAATAATAATAATAATAATAATAATAATAATAATAATAAGTAGCTCAGGAAAAATACGTCTTTAATCGTTTCTCAAAAACAGAAACTGGTGGACTCAATATAAGATTTATGGGTGAGACATTCTGTAGCCTGGGGGCAGCGGCTGAAAAGACCCTGTCTCCATAAAATTTTAGGTGGGTGTTTGGTGTTTACAAGAGCTATCCTCGAATCTAAGTGGCTTGTATCATTATAGCCATCACGACTCTATGCTCCTTCATTATATATCGGTTTTGACTCGTATTTTCACTTAACGGAACACAAAGCGATCACACAGTCTTCATTTTTTCAAAGTTAACCAGAAGACTAAACCCAGTCGCTAATTCAGTTCAAGTTCCCTTTGATTTCTATAACGAAACCCCAAACAATTAACCAATGTTTTGACCCTAAAGAACGCTATCAGAAAAACAAATATTTCAAGTTGCACTGGAATGCGATAACGTAATGTTGATGATTCTAAAATGCTTCATATATTGCTTTTATTTGTATTTTCTTAGCTGTTGTTAAAGTAAAGACCTTACACTGTTATTAATAACATATTGCACTCTTAATCATAAGAACACATCGTCACGCCCAAGCTCCATTTTGTAGATATGGCTCATCAGCTGATTATGTTACGAACTAAGTTTGTAGAAATACCAAATGTGAGGATGAGTAGGTAAGAATATAATGAAATAACAATGACACAAAAGTTAAGCATTCAATGTCGTCTGTTCAAAAGTTTTTCTTGATGGGGAAGAAACCTCTTAAAATAATGAAATCTCCTGCGGTGTAAAAATGCGAACTGCAGCAAAAGAAACAAATCAATGGACAGA